TGACATATATCCTCAGATCTTTTTTATTTTTTATGTTGAGTTAGAATATCCCTAAATGACTGTTGCCCAGGCTGGCTTGAACTGGGCATCTTCCTGCCTCAGCCCCTTCTCCAGGTGACGAAATGAGAGGAAGATGCCACCACCTAGGTGTGATTTATCAATTTTAATGAAACCACTTGAAATTCATTTTTGTTCATGTTATATTGTATTCCACTGCTTTACGTGTCACAATTTATTTATCTATTACCCATGGGCATTCATAAGATTTTCTAACAACAACATTACAATAATGTGAAAAATCTTTCTGTGCAAAAACATTTTCCTCTGTTTGACCATGTGGAAGGATACAGCTAATTGACAGGTGTACCAGGAAAGCTCTAACCTTACTTCTGGGGTGTCTAGATGTTCAGCTTGAACTCTTTGTCAGAATACAGGCAGAAGGATTCATACTGAAATGTTCAAAATTCAAACTCCCATAGTAAGCTCAAGAGTGAGATCTTTTACTTATGACTTTCCTCTGGTTAGACTGGCTGACTTGACCAAATAACCAGAGGGTACAAAAGACTCTCCATCATTCCCACTCATCAGGAGCTTTTATCATAGTTTGTCAGAGGCAAGGAGAATGGAGCAGACATTGGTAGTAAAATCAAGAGATAACAAAATGAACACCATGGGAAGCTTGCACATGGTCATCATTTGTGCCGCAGTGTTGCCCATACTCTCTTTCTCTTGCGCTTTTAAATAAAAGCCTATTTGGGTCAGGCTTACTTGAGTACTTACATAAATCATCTGTGGATTTTTCTGGCTTATTACAACATTCAGACTTGTGAAATATTTAGAGTGGGTAATGTCAGATTGTTGTTCCAGTTGTTGCTCCAATACACCTCTCTCCCAGCAGTGGAGGAGATACTGATTCTCCATTCAATGTGCTGATATGTGCCTCAGCATGCTCCCTAGTCTATTTATATCAAATTGATAGAACATGACATGTAGTAAAGAACATGCACTTTAGTAAGTCTTCTATGTGGAAGAACGTGAGAGCTGTTTGTGACCAAAATAATGTAGTGCTCTACTTCAGTGACACATTTTGCAGTTCATTGTCACAGTGAGTGACCATGGGCTGCATAGATGAACGAATATCTGGAGAGGAGACTTTTTTCAGTCACCAAGAGGCCCAGAGGGGCTATTTTCCTCTGAGAGTGCCCAGCATTCCAGAGACTTCCAGGAGGAAAAAAAGTCCTGAAGCTGAGAATTGTCTGGCTTTTATTTAGAACATCAGTAGAAGAAAAAAAAAAAAAAAAAAAAGCAGGAGAAAAGCAGTTTGCCCAAGGAGCTGTCTCAAGGCTAGACATGTTTTCTTGGAGAGAGGGAAAGGACAGTGGCCTGACACAACATGGTTCAGTAATCTAAATTTCTTGTTTAACCGTTCAATTCTGACAGCCTGTGTGCTTTTGCCCTGTAGTTAAACCATTAACTCCTCACAGAGCCTGCATGCTTTTGCCCCTCGTCTCAATTATTTGTGTGCTTTTGTCCTGAATTGTAACCATTCACTCCTTGGCCAAGTCCCCCACAGTTCTTGATGAAGATAATGTCTATGAAGTACATTTTTTTCTGAGTCAATAAGTGTAGTTCTATTAAGCACTTTTGGAAAATGCTTCCCCAAATCTGGGAGCTCACAAATTATTTTCGCTTGATACAACTGACTGTAATGTTGGATTTGATCAGCATTTCTCCTTTATCATTTGCAGGTGTCATATGCAAGTACAAATTCCTGAAGCAGCTGGGCATGGTGGCACAGGTTTGTAATCCCAGTACTTGGGAGGCTGAGACAGGAGGATCACTATGAGTTTGAGGCCAGCCTGGTCTATGTAGTGAGTTAATGCCACCCTAAATTACATAACAAGAATTTGTCTCAAAAACAAAGCAAAAGAAAACAAAGCAAACCAAAATAAAAACAAAAACAAACCAACTTACCCCTGTTGCACCCAGTGAGAATGAACCAACCAGAGACCGATATTAAATCCACACAGGAGTTTATTGTCAGTCAGGACCCAAGCCAAGCATCAGACTGGAGCCTCCACTGGGGGAAGACAGACATGTTTCATACACCTTTGAGGCCAACAGTTTCTAGGCCCCCCTATGGGATAGAAGTAAAAGGTAAGCAAAAGGTACAGTAGCAGAACATCCTGCTGTTCGAACATTTGTAAAACAATAGTTGATTAATTGTTATTTCTAAAGAGACTTTCCAAGGGGAGGAGGTTTTTAAGCTTCCTCCTTCTGAGTTCATCTAAAGGGCAGGCAGGTGGGTCAAGCAGCAATATGGAGTCTGTCTTGCTAACTAAGGTCCTTCATTCCCCACTGGTTCTTGTAACTTAATCAAATCTTTGATTCCTATATTTACTCTGAATTTTTTTTAAAACGTCTTTTAAAATCTCATAATTTTGTCTCAACACCATCAGTTTAACTGCACCAACCCTCTGTCTAACATATTTAGTCAGAGCATTTATAATGCAAGGTCTCATGAGCAAAAGCAGAAGTAAGATAACTAGGGGGCCTGTTACAGCAGAAACTAGGGTAGTTAACCATTAGCATAGAAGCAACAGGGTTTTTTTCTAGGGCTACATATAACCCTCCTTGTTTTATGAACAGGAGGTCAAGTCCCCTTAGATTTTGCAGGACCATCTCAGCTAGAGAATCAACCTGTTTTTTTTTAATCTGAAGATCGAGTTTTTCAGGTGACCCAAATCTCTGGCTACTTGGTGGCTTAGGGCTTTAAAATTTGTGTCCTGAAGGATCAGGGAGGAAGTTCCAATAGCCGCTGACCTGGCTATTCCTAATCCCACCAGAATGGGCACTAAAATGGGGGCAGCCTGTTTACTCCTATAGTGTTCTGTGGTTAATCCCAGATGTTCATGGCCACCTTTTTTATTACAATACAACACTTGTGGAACAACATATATGGTGACACAAAATAAAGTGGCAGATTGGGTAGCCAAGACTGATTTGGGAATGTATTTAGTCAAGTCCTCAGTGCAAGCAAACCAAGCATATCAGGACCAGGTCTCCTGGCTTGAAACTGTGGGGCTGGAACTTCGCAAAGGGTTTTTCTCGAGCCTGTTGTATTGTAGCCTGGATCTCACTCTGAAGAATCTGTATGGCTTGAAGAGACTGAAGTAAAGAGATACAAGAACTCTCTGTTATCTGTTCAAGGTTTAACTTAGGGAGGAGTGGCAGTGGCCTCCCATACAAGATTTCAAAAGGGGTAAACTTGTCACATACGGGGGTACATCTAACTCTTAACAAGGCTAGAGGAAGCAGATCAGGCCATCTACCACCAGTTTCTAGAATATATTTAGTCAGGGTTTCTTTCAGGGTCCTATCCATCCTTTCCACTTGCCCTGAACTTTGTGGGTGATAGGCACAGTGTAGCTTCCAATTGATATGTAGTGCCCTTGCCAACAATTTGGATATCTGTGCTGTGAAGGTAGGCCCATTGTCAGACCCCAGGTAATGAGGGATGCCAAATCAGGGAACTATCTCCTGGAGCAAAACCTTAGTTACTATGTTGGCTGATTCTCCATGAGTGGGGAAAACTTCTACCCAACCTGAGTAGGTGTCAACCAATACCAGTAAATATTTGAACCTATTGCTGGATTTTATTTTGGTGAAATCAAGTTCCCAATGTTCCCCTGGCTTTCTTCCCCATAGTCGATTAACTTTGTGCCTTGGTCTCATCTTGGAGTTTAACTGTGTACACACCTGTCACCTGGAACTGATGTCCTGGACCATAGAGGTCAGTCCTTGGATTGAAAACTTAGAGCTCATTAGTCTTTTTATCTTTGATTTTCCCAGGTGAATTAAGTAATGTAACTGATGAACAAGTTGTCATCCCAGGGCTTGGGGGAGACAAATTTGTTTGTCCCTTTCCACCAGCCTTAGTCCAGTTTTGTGCCCCCTCGCTTTTGGTTTTCCTCTTCCTCTTCTGGGGTATATTCGGGTCTTTCTGCCAGGTAGCCAAAGGGTTGGATGGGCAGAACATCTATTGGCCCCCCTGGTTCTCTGGCCACTCGTCGGGCCACATCATTGGCCTCTCAGTTACTGCGGGCCTCGAAGCTCTTTTTTGGTGGCTTTTGTAATGAATAATGGCCAATGCCCTGGGTTCTCAAATTGTCTCCAACAAGGCCAACATTTTTTTTTGATAGTTTTCCTTCTGATGTCAATAGCCCTCTCTGTCTGTAGATGTCGCCATGCATATGGGCAGTGGCAAATGCATACTGGCTGTCAGTGTAGATGTTGACAGCCTTGTCTCAACCTAACAGGGCTTAAATTAAGGTTATTAGTTCAGCCCTCTGCATTGAAGCCCCCCGGCTTAATGCTTGTGTCCAGTGCACCTTTCCTCCTGGACTGACTACAGCCACCCCCACATACCTGACTCTGTCTTCCACGAAGCTGTTCCCATTGGTGAAGAAGGTCTCATCTGGGCTTTGCAGGGGAACATCAGTCAGGTCTGGGTGGTTGGTGGTGGAAGTTGTCAGAGTGTCCAGACAGTCATGGAGAGGCATGCGTATGAGTCGGAGTCCAGGAGTATGGTGGCTGGATTGAGGGTCATTTCTCAGGTGAATTTGACATGTGGAGCATCCAGCAACAGGGCCTGGTACTCAGTCAGGCAGGCGTTGGAGAGCCATCATTCTGGGGATCCTCTCAGCAATGTCTCCACCGCATGGGGTGTGGTGATGACCATGTCCTGTTCCAGGCTGAGCTTATCTGCCTCCTGGACCAGGAGGGTGGTTGCTGCAACTGCCCTCAAACAGGTAGACCACCCAGTTGCCACAGGATCAAGTCTTCTAGACAGGTAGGCCACAGGTCTGTTTCAAGGCCCTAATGCCTGAGCTAGCACTCCTTTTGGTATGTCCCCTTGTTCAGCCACAAACAACCAAAAGGGCTTGGTGACATCAGGTACAGCCAGGGCTGGTGCTGACACTAAGGCTTTTTTTAAAGCCAAAAAGGCGCTTTCTCCTTTTCTGTCCAGAGGGACTGTCTCTTGTGCCTAGAGTGCAGCAATAATGACTTTCTCCAGTTTTTTGGCTAGGATTTCCTCAGGGCCGTCATAGTTATCATAAACTTTCTGGGCTATGTTCAGGAGTTTAGTCCTATTCTTTCCCTCAAATCCCTCCAATTTCTGTAATTTTTTTTTCTAATATCTGGGGCTGACTGGGAAACAAAGACCAAATTTAAAGCTGCTGCATTTTTGGGAGCCTCTGGGTCAATAGACTTTCAAGAGTCTCTCTAAAAATGCAGCTGGAGACTCTGTTTTTCCCTGGCGAACCTCACTTACCTTACTCAAATTAGAGGGCTTTTCGGCAGCTGCCCAGAGTCCCCCTAATAAGTGCTGGCAGTAGTTCCCCAGCCTCCCTTTACTGTCATCATCATTGGGGTCCCATTCGAGGTATCATGACAGAACTACTGTTTCAGCCTTGGCTGAATGCTCTGGAGTTCTGGGAGTGATGCCGAGGTTTGGCCCCAGGGCCTCTTTGACTGTCTGTTGATAAATGCGGTCTCGCTCCTCAATGGTGAACAGGATCTGTAAAAGCTGCTGGCAATCATCCCAGGTTGGTTGATGGGTATGAAAAACAGACTCAAGAAGGGATTAATGCCTGAGGTTTTTCAGAGAAGGGGGGGGATTTTGATGTTTCCAATTGTAAAGATCACTAGTTGTAAAAGGGACATAAATCAATCCTCCCCTGGGCTCTGTTTTAAAGGAAAAAGGGAGGAGGAAGATGGGGCTGATGGACCATAGTCCTGTCCTGATTGAGTGCCAAAGGTCGATCAGGACCTGTGGGGCCCTGACTCCCGTGACCACATTCCAAACCTTGTGAGCAATGTGCACAGAATTAAGTCCCCACCGGGGGCCAACCGACTCCAAAACTGGGCCATTTTAATTGACACAGGGTTTTTAATTTGCCTTTAGAAAATTTCATGCCATATTCATCTTCCCTGTCTATGGAATAAATTTTTTTGAAGTTATTCAAAACACAATCAAGTGGAGTTCCCTCCATGGACTGTGAGGAAACCATAATTTTAGCCTGTGAAAATGCAAAAGGCACACAGAGCAAGCAGACAGACAACAATAAACAGACAAAGACAAACTTTGGCCAAGTAAAACCTCTGGGGCTGAATGGATTTGGACCCCACCGAGGGAGTTGCTCTTCTGAGGACTCTGACCCAGTTGAGTCTGCTTGCCTTTGTGAAGAGACTCTAGGTAGGGGAACCTGTGCCATGTCCGGCTTCCTCCTACCTACCCACAGTGCATTAAGAATCATTTGATTCTTACCTCTAGAGGCTTTCCCAATAAACTCCTGCAGGTTGGTTGATCAGCAATAGGGCCCAACTGGGACCAGCCTACCTGGAGCCCTGGAATACCATCAGGGTGGCCTCTCCTTCCACAGACCAGTGTCCAGAGAGGCCAAACACTGCTGATGTTGGATCCTGGTCTCTCCTAAAAAGAAACAATGGCTCCAAGATAATAAGCTCCAGAGCAGCTGGCTATCTTGCTGGGGCCTCCAAGAATGTTGCACCCAGTGAGAAAGAACCAACCAGAGACAGATATTAAATCCACACAGGAGTTGATTACCAGCCGGGACCCAAGCCGACCATCAGACTCGAGCCTCGACTGGGGGAAGACAGACATATTTTATACACCTTTGAGGCCAACAGTTTCTAGGGCCCCCTATGGGATAGAAGTAGTAAAGCAAGCAAAAGGTACAGAAGCAGAACATCCTGCTGTTCTAACATTTGTAA